CACCTAACTAAAAGGCCTTCAGGCCAAGCCGAAATTGTGGCCACGACAAATATGCACAAATTTACCGATGTGACAAATGCTGTGCTTGGAAAGTCAGATATGCTAAGTGATATGTATAAGGAACATACATCAAAATAGGGCGTGTACCAACATGAAAGCTAAGGAATGCTTTCGTCAATAAGAAGAACAAGCTGCCGAGCGGAAATTTCCCTAGTCTTGTTTACACTGTAGTCTGCCACAATTGTGACAACCCGTTAATCTATGAGATCTATGATTTCAATGAAAGAGTTAAACACGAATATGATGTCACCAAATCATGGGCGGCTTTGCATGCCCTTGCTGAACGTGTGTAATATACAGGCTTTCAAATGGACTGGTCAAGCAACCGTGTTCTGGTCGAAGAAAATAAGCTAGCATCATGCCGGCACCTGGAATCCCTGCACATGCACACAGCTGCACATATCCTCAATAAGATTTATGGAACGCTGACCATATACTTTTGGTGCTTACATCACGCACCTAGTCATACTTAAATATGATGTCCCTTTCTCATGGCTATCATTCAGAACAATATCGGGTGCCCAAGTATCAATAAACTTTGCATTGTTTTGGTCGGTGTATTCTTTTGTTTGTACACTAAGAAGAAACAGTTATGCATTGCCTTTTTTTTAAACCTCTTCTAGCTGTTCACTGTAGTTGCAGTTGAAGGAGTGACCGTTTGAGTATTGATCAAGGGTAATGCTTATTTTTGTGATGGTGGCAGAGACTGCCGTCAGTTTCCATGAATTGGCCAGGTTTTACCAAAGTTCCCCTAGTTTTTCAGCAAGGCCCCGATTCCCCGACTTTTCCAGGTTGGTAGACACTCTGCACAAATAAAGATAGATGGCAGTTAAATTGCGTCCTGTGTTTCTTGTCTTATGCGAGTGTCATTCTGCACTTTATTACTTTGGAAGTACTTGTTGCTGGGCTGGTTGGTATAACATTATTAGGGGAAATTCTAGACGATGCGAATGCGTGGTGCGGTGTAAATATTTTCTGTAGTTCAGCTGCGAGTGATGCTCTTTTCCTGTGCTTTTTCATTTTTCCTGTGGTGATTAGGCATCTAGAATTTTCTCCCTTGGCTTAATTACCTCCCTGAAGCTATGTACCCTCTCGCCCATTAACAATCATTGTTAAACTATTGTATGTGGCATCGTTGATGCAAAATGACCTTAGAGTATATCCTCGAGCTCCTGCAGGATCACCAGCTGAATGTGATAACCAGTTCACCATTTATAGGACACGAAGTGCTGACATTTTCAATATATCTGTTCGCACAGTGCTTCACTGGAGTCATGCAAGCTTAAAATATGGTGCTTCCACAAAGAAATTTTTCTTCCTGTGCTGTGACCAATGGGAAAACAATGTAGACAATAACGAAAAGAGATCACAGCTAGGCTTAGCGGTGCGATGTCTGCCTCAATAAATTATTGTAATAAATTAATGCAAGTGTGCTCATATTACCATGGTGCTGCCAGTTTATTACTACGTTTGATATGAACCTCTGCTCGCTCCACCATGGTGTTTCTGGGGGTATACACAGTCTTATCTCTGAGACAGCATTGCCAGAAGTAATTTCACTGTCCCAATATTGAACAGGTGTGCAACAAGCATGTGCCAGTGCAGAGAACACAAGAGAAGTGGTCACTGCTTACATGTTCAAGGTCCTATGCACCCACAACGGACTACGATTTTAGAGCGTCTTACATTTTGAGTGGAGTATACATGGTGATGACTGGAGCCATCTCTGTGGTCACCAGCTAGACTGTCACAATGTGCATATTGTTGCTTGAGACAACTCTTTGGGACAAAAAAAGGGCACCGAGGCTAGTGTACGGGCTTGTGGTGAGGAGACTCTCAAAAGGTATATGGTGTGTTATCTTGCAACAGAGAAATAACATTTATACCTAACTTATGTTAGTAGGAGTCTGCTAAACATTGGCCATACAAGCTTGTGGCTAGAGAAGGATGATGTCCAGAAGATACCCTCCTGAAATGTTAACCTGCACCGTTCTCCTTTGCCCTTCTTGGTGCACTGGAATTTTTGCCACTAGTTCTTTCAGTGGGTGCTCTTGAAGGGCTTGTGAATGAGCTCACTCTTACCAGCTGCTTTTCCCAAGGGCCAATGCTGCTGTTGGAACAAGTTTGCTTGGCAGAAATTTTTAACAGGAAAAGAAGCTTCAATCATTACACAAATAAAGCTACAGCAATGCAAGATTAATATGATGTTATGTACACAGACCTTCCACATACAACTCACTAAAATGTCACCAATTACCTCTATGGTGAGCCTGATTAATTATGCCTTAAGACAGCATGTAAGTTTCTTGATCTTATACTTCTTAATCAGTACATGAACCTTGAAAACACAAGATCGTCACGTGCAGTGCATAAAACCAGTGCTTATGAACTGCAATGATGCCATCGGAAGCATCAGCAAAAGTAAATTCACCCTGCTAGAAAGGGAATTCTGCATGAAGCCTGTAAATGTACTGCTAACAAAGTATTCTCAACAACTTCATTACTTCTATTTCTGTAATTTGCATAATCTTGTCTCATGCATACCTTGCTGTCAACCCAAAAATTATTGACCTCTGAGGTGTTACTCAAGTGACCATGCTCATTTAACATACCTGCAAGCCTCAGTGCTAACATAATAAAACTAAAGGCTTTGATAAGGTAATGCTCTCTGCTACTCACCCCTTCAAAAAAAATTTTAGCATCCCCTTCAAACCTGTTTGTTTAAAGACTCAACAGGCACAGCGACATGACTCATGAAAGGCATTTCCGGAGCTTGTGGAGCAACTAAAATCTCTTTGGAGCAGCATAAAAGCCGCCTGAAGCTTTTAAGCTAGAGCTGTTGCACTACATGTCACACGGAACTAGTTCTTGAACATACGCAAGCATGTTCACTTGGACTTCTGCTCAACATAAACATAGACTTTTTGCTTTTCTGCAGACATCCCCAATTTGTATCAAGCTACCTAGCACTTTCCGGGAATTCGCATGGTATTTGTAAATGACTGTGGCTTTCAGTGATAGTTTAGCTACAATATTGAAGCACGGACCAGTAAGACTTTTTATGCATTCTGTTTACTTTCCCAAAAGAAAAAAAAGAGGTCTGCTGATTATATTAGTGCTTTTATTAGTACAACCTAATCATTCATTGTGTGGAGAAGTGGTTGCTGTCATCGTTTATGCACAGAATTGTTAGGTTCCTGATTAATGAGCGGTTCATAAAAAAAGGGTTTTGTAACTGGTCCTTACTGCCCATTATTTATTATGGCTCAACAAAATTTAGAGTTATGGGGGAATAAGTAGTTATACTTGGCAAACTGTTTGACATGTACAGTCGTCGAGGTCAAGAAGCCCAGCCGAGACATACCGGAATAGTGAAACACCATGCCTTCTAGGAAAAGTTACAGTGATTGTACAGTATACGGTACTGCTGATAAAATTTGCCCACTGTATATGGACTCAAAACTTAACTGCCCTGCATGAAATATTTTGAAAGTAAACTGTCACAAATAGGACCACAAATAAAAAAATTAAGTAAATGATCAGTTCTATATGCAGGTACTAAATTACTGTATTTTAATACAGTCAGTCAAGCACGACTGCTGTCCAAGCACAACTAGCTCATCATTACTTTTATCTGACATTAACCACAACAGTTTGAAACTATTTGACTGAAGTCATGTGGTAACTTTTACAGTATAAGCGGGTTCAAATTGTTAAGAAAGTTTGTGCCCAGCAACTTTTTCAACTACATTGCACGTTCATGTCCACTGTGATGACATCTCCAAATCGCAGGGGTAACGTATGGATTTCAAGCGCATGCCCTATACTTGCTCCCTGAGAGAACAAAGCAACGAAGAGTGCATGGATGCTTGACACAAATAATAAAATTTTTGAAAAAGATGTAGCAGGTTTTGCCTCTTGGTGCAGATCCCTGCAGGCACTTACCTAATTACCACCACATTTTGCCAACAAGCAGCCCCATGTCGGGTTTCCTCGAACCACCTTGCTCTTAGTTCTGGCACGATATAGGTTTCAAAGATCTATTTCTTGCAAACTGTGCAAGTGATTGTAGACCATTCTTCAGCGGTTATTTTCGTGCTTACTCGATAGGAAAACATGAGCTACAAATTTTTTAAGTTTCTAAAATATGAATGGTAATTGAATTGTGAATGATAATCTACACCCAGCCTTAGTATATACTTCCTTTATAATCATTTTCAATTTGAGGCATGGCACAAATTTTGAAGTACGACTGAAGCCTCTCATATGCATGTTTCGTTTATTTGAAGGTGCCAAGCAACAATTTTGAATTAATCCTGCAATGAACTAAAATCTGAATGCCTTGCGAATTGCCTGCCACAAAATGTACTTTACAAGGTAAATTGTTCTGGGCTTGTTACACAAGCTGAAGATGATGACGAAACTGACTGCCGCATCGTCCCTGATAAGACAGATGAAAGCGCGTGTACAATTTAGGTGCACACACGAGGCCCAATGCCAGTGCTACATTTCCAATTTACACACGAGCGCGCGCAATACGTCTGCTTTACCGCAATACACTGCGTGCACTTCACCGCAAGGCACGACTGCCTTGCGGTACTGTTCAATTATTAAGAAGACGCTTAAGGCGGCAATTTTGAGCGGAGATTTAAAGTGCTCCCAGCATATTTTCAATGTTATTTCCTTTGTTTTTTTCTTTGTATACACCCACAAGAACAGACATAGCTTAAGAAACCAATTATCGTCATCGGCGACAGCATATTTAAGCCACTTGGGAAATAACGTCGTGTGGACGCCTGCTAATATTCCATCGCTTCCAACTTGTGTATTTCGTATCTGTCTCACGCAGTTACGCAAGACGAAGCTTCAATGAAAGTTTTGGCACAAGCATACACTTCACCCAAGCGACACATCGATCCATGCGCAACACACGCACTTACCAGAAATACACGTACGGCATACATCCACAAATAGCATAACACACGGTGTTCATGCTCGGGCAAGTCGTTACCACATTGCTTATAGACAATATTACAGAACGAGACCACGTATCCTTGCGCAGAGGCGGTTCTCGCGAATACACACAGCTCCCGACCAAGCAAAGACCACGGAGAAATAACCACCGCACGGTGAAGATCCTCAAAAGTTAGTGAGGAACCTTACGGTAGACCTTTCGTTTTCACCATCTAAACGTCCCCAAAAAATGTCCAACACAGCGATTCTGTCGCCGTTTATTTATACTTTGTAAGCCAAGTCAAGCCGATTTTAAGCGGCTATTAGGTGAACTGAGCGTTTTGGCTCTCAAAAGGTTCGTGCATAGCCTCTTATATAACTAACTAAAGTTATAGAAAAGGCTATGGTTCGTGCCACCCGGTGGCAGCAGACGCGGCCTGGTAGTAGTCGTTTCGTGTTTGTGTCTGCGTTAGCCGTAGTGGAAGAGGTTTGCCGTCCGTATTGCCAGCGTTGCTGACGGCAACACTCGTGGAGCTCGCGGTTGTTTAATCGGCCGTGATGAAGCTGCTATCTGCCTGGAGGCCGTTGAGCAGCGCGTGTGCCCAGCAGTCGCGCCGCTGCTACTCAATCACCACAAATGGCGAGCACTGGCTGCACGGCTACCTGAGCGATGCGATGGTGCGCTTTCGGGTTGCCCTGCGCACCCTGTGGCCCCGCGGTCGAGTGGCCGTTCACCGTGGCCAGGGACCGCCGGTGCTGTCACGTTACCTGCAGCGGTGGGCGAAACAAACGCGAGCTGCCGACTTGCGGAGACGCGCCGCCCGTCAGCTGTTCGCCGGCGCTCGCCTGCCGCTCATGGGGCTCACTGGTGTGTGCCTCATCACCAAACCATCCCTGGTCACCAGCGAAGAGGAACTGGAGAGTGTCTGCGTCGCACTGCGGGTGAGTGCTTCATCAGCTGTCACGCTGTTCGCGATCGCCCTTGGTGTAGATGGTGACAACTCAAGCACGCTGCCCAAGCGGTATCTTGGTCATGCATTGTCCATTTCGTCACAATGCCGTTGCGGAAATCATGTCTCCCTTCTCCTGAACTGCGTTGTATTTTTGGTGCAACTTGTTTGCAATGGCGCTGCGCGCAGAGTAAAAAAAAGGGTGGTCATTGGCAGGTGCGCGACGTAGAGTCAACCGGCTTATTGGTGCAGGAGCAGCGCGCAACGAGAGATAAGTTATCCTTTATTTGTTGGTGTTTGTGAACACGATGATTAGTTTTTCTCTCCTAATAAATAACTTGCGTTGCGAGTACTGTGGGTGTGGGACACGGGCAACGTTGCAGTGACCTTGACCACGTGAACGGGGTAGGCGGCTGTTTTGAAGAACGGAGTGTCTAGCGTTACGTCTAGACATAACGATAGAAGCTGTTAAAGTTGCGTTCAGACGTAAAAATAAGATGTAGAGTTACGTCCAGCGTGACAACAATACAGTACCTGCTTGTTAAACCCACGAAACCGATCGGCAGCAGTGGTGTAGTGAGCTAACGCAGCACGTGCAGAACAGTGCAGTCGTTGGTTCAAGCCCTACTAGAAATTGTTTTATTCATTTTTTGTGCAAGTATTTTTCTGAACAGGGCAGCATTATTGTTCCAAGGGTGTTGATTATATATATATATACACACACACACATTTTTTTTTTTAAAGAAAATAGCCTTCGTGGCTGCGGCGGACGTGCAATACCACGTTGCTACAGCGGCCTACAGTTCTGCTGTAGCAAAATAGTGAGTGTTTGCGACGAAAGGGCACCGCGAGATTATCCCAGCATGAGCGCTATTGGGAGCTTTTCCTGTAGAGTCTGTGTATTAACTCTGAGTCGTAGAGTTTCCTACAGAAAACTCTATGGCCTCAGTGACAATTCGTTTTGTGTTCTGAGGGGATTTTTTCATGTTTTTACCGTTACACCCATAGAAATATATATATATATATATATATATATATATATATATATATATATATATATATATTGTGGGCATTCGTCATGCGCTTCTTTTCATATATGCATTATCATAATCATCATCATCATCCACCTGGGTCTCTGTCCTCATCTTCACTGGGTGTCACTACAATCATCATCGTCTGTGTGCACGCTCAGTCTCAGACTGCCCGTTCGTCGCTGAGCCCTTGGGCTGAATAAATGCTGTCTCAACCCAGACGTCATACGTGGTGGAGATGGATTTTTGGTCCTCAGTCCTCTCTCGCTTCGCTCGACTCCCTGGAGCTGCGTTCAGGCCGCTGATTACCCCCATTGTCTGACAGCATGTCACAGAACGAGCCTGCCGGCGCTGCTACCATCGCTGCTGCCATCTCTCCCCCGCCGTCTTCAGCCGCGCTTCCTGTTTACGTACACAGCCACCAGCGTGATCCCCCTCTCTTCGCCGGTCTTCGCGAGGAAGATGTGGAAGACTGGCTCGATGAGTACAGCCGCGTGAGTGTTGCTAATCACTGGATCGATAGCGCCAAGCTCCGTTACGTCTCTTTCTTCTTGGCCGGTGTGGCGAAGACATGGTATTTCAACCACGTCATTGACTTACCCGACTGGGCGACCTTCCAGCACCAGCTGCGACATGTTTTTGGGACACTGGCCATTCGTTTCGCCGTCGCGAAGAGGACCTTCGATACTCGCCTACAACATCCCGGCGAATCTTACACTTCTTACGTTGAGGATGTCCTTTCACTGTGCCGGCGTGTCAATTCATCTATGCCAGAATCGGACAATGTACGCCACATCTTGAAAGGCATTAGACCGGTTGTTTTTAATGCCCTCGCTGCGCAAAATTCAGCTACCATCGCTGACGTCGTCACGACATGCCAGCGCCTTGATTCGCTGGACTGTGCCGGCTTGTCAATTCATTTATGCCAGAATCGGACAAAGTATGCCACATCTTGAAAGGCATTGGACCGGTTGTTTTTAATGCCCTCGCTGCGCAAAATCCGGCTACCATCGCTGACGTCGTCACGACATGCCAGCGCCTTGATTCGCTAGATTCCGTTCGTCTCCAAACGGACATTGGCGACCACCACTCCACGTCCCATGGCCAACTACGTGACCTCATCCAGGACATTATACGAGAAGAATTGCGGTTTATGGGCTTCACACCTTCTTCACCGCGTTCAACACAGTCTTCGGGAGTTCCTTCGCGTGACTTCATTAGGGATGAACTTACATCCATGACCGGCCCTGATCTTGCAAAACCACCTGTTTCTCGCACCATATCAACCTACGCTCAAGTCGCTTCCGCGCATCCGAGCTACGTACACATGGCGTTGCCGCAACCATCCTACGCGTCGGTTGCTGCCATTCCCCTGGTCAACTACTGTTCGATGCCACCTGACCCTTCTTCGGCCCACCTGAGCGCGCTATCTCCAAGTGCCCCTAATGCCTTCTACTCCCCACCCTGGCGCTCGTCCTGCCCTGTCTGCTATTACTGTGGGTATCGCGGCCACATTTCTCGTTTCTGCCGCAAGCGCCAGCAACACGAGCACCACGGTTACGACATGCGTGAACGAGATGTGTACTATCAAGGTCAACGCCATTCATCACCTCCACACCGGTCTCCCTCTCCGCCCGCATCCAGTGCACCTCGGAACAGCCGGAACTCAAGGCGCCGTTCACCATCACCCTTTCGCCGCTCCTCCTCCCCACTTCGGCCTGCCTCATTCGTCATTAACAGTCATTCGAAAAACTAAGTAATGGAGTTTCTGGGGGAAAAACTGCATTTTGAATTAGGACTGATATTCCTCCATCATGCCCGTGCAACATGATTTCGGTGGTAGTGGAAAGAGTGTACGTGGATGCTCTGGTGGACACGGGTGCGGCATTTTCTGTTATACGCGTCGATTTAGGCCAGCGCCTGAAAAAAGTGATGACCCCTTACGATGGACCCATGTTGGTATCTGCGCAGGGGTTTACCATTCACCCTTCAACTTTCTGTACAGCCCGCGTTTTTATTGATGGTATCCGACACCACATTCAGTTTGCCGTTCTCACTGACTGCTCTCACCAATTGATTTTAGGGTGGAATTTTCTTTTTTCTGCTTCCGTGGCTATTTGCTGTGGTCAACGCGTCGTCCACCTCACCGACACGGACTGCACGCTCACTGACGACCCCCAGAGGCCACTTCGTTTCAGAGCTGCGGAGGATACCGAATTACCACCAGGTCAAGAGCGAATTGTAACGATTACCTCCAAGGACATCGACCATGGTGATGTCTTGGTCTCACCATCATTTAGTTGCGTCGGTAAAAGCATCATTCTCGCTTCCGGTGTAGTTCGGTTTCTCAATGGTTCCGCACTTGTCGCCGCTGTGAATACAGCATCCGAAAAAATTCTACTGCCTCAGAACACCACGGTGGCCTGCGTGACGGATCCTGAGCCTGCGTGCATCGTGCCACTTCATGCCGTCTCCTCCCATGACAGCCCTAGTGGTGAGCCTGCTTCTTCCGCCTTTAGTGAAGCCATTAGTGATGACTTGACACCTTCACAGACGCAACAGGTGCTTGCTTTGTTAAAGAAACACGCAAGTTCCTTCGATGTTTACTCCTTGACGTTGGGCCGCACTACTACTACAACGCACACAGTCGGAACATCTGTTGTACGCCGCTGGCCCTACCGTGTTTCTCCTGCTGAGAGAAAAATTATCGAAGAAAATGTAGCCGACATGCTCAAATGAGAGGTAATTCGCCACTCATCTAGCACTTGGTCGTCGCCTGTGATTCTCGTTTGTAAGAAGGATGGCTCCATGTGCTTTTGCGTCGATTACAGGGCGCTGAACAAGATCACTCGCAAGGATCTTTACCTAATGCCTTGCAATGACGATGCCTTGGATTCTCTACAAGGCGCGAAATACTTTTCCAGCCTCGACCTGCGTTCCGGATACTGGCAAATTCCTATGCACAAAGAGGATAAAGAGAAAACGGCATTCGCAACCCCCAACGGGCTATACAAATTCAACGTTATGCCTTTCGGGCTGTGCAACGCGCCCGCTACATTTGAGCGCATGATCGTTACCGTGCTGCGCGGCCTCAAATGGAAGACCTGCCTCTGCTATTCGGACGATATCGTCATTTTTTCATCAACGTTTCCTTAGCATATACAACGTTTGGATGGCGTTCTGACGTGTCTTGCCGTCGCTGGTCTCCAACTCAACACAAAAAAATGCCATTTCGCCACAAAAGCTATCAAGGTTTTCGGCATGGTGTAAGAGGTTTATTAGGTGAGAGAGCGCTGCCGCCCAGCGCGTCGACGTAAAGTTCTCCTTCGGGGGCCGGCTGATAGATGGCGAAAATGATTGCGGCCTGCACAACCGGCCACGCTGCGCGTGCACGCTGGTGCGAATGCAGCCGCGGCGCGACGAATGAAAAATATATTGTTTGAGTGAGCGACCATTGGGAGTTCATCTGTGAATCAAGCGAATGTTTGCTTGCACTCCTTAATACCAGCCATCGGCCATACCATGCTGAATGCGCTGGTTCTCGTCCGCTGGACCTACCCGTACAGCTATGACGAACTGCGATTGAGTAGACGTCACATTGGCCCCAGCGTGCGGCGTGGTTGCACAAGTTTCATCGTATTCTAGAGACAACTGCTGCTACTTGTTTTTTTAATTTTATTTAGAGAAATTGCAACAACATTGAATGGACAGCACGGCACGAACAAGACATTAGATAATAATCGATTTTTTGAAGTTCGATCCCCGATCTTTTAGCAGTCATAAGGTTGTCAAGCATGACACTCCTGTCAGCTTTTACGGTAAACCCTACCTGAAACCACAATCAAAAAACAACACTAACATTTTTCTATCCTCTAAACTAGCCATTGTACAATGTTTCAACACATATTCTTGTTTCTTCATCATTTATTTAAATAATAGCAGCATTCTCAAAACAATAACA